AAGCCATTGATCTCTTAACATTCAGATAAAAAGCCAGCAGCCACTTGGCTCTGTCATTTCATGCAGGCAGAAGAAGGTCCTTCTAGCTTTGCGCTCTTGTATCATGGAGAATGCCAGGCAAGCCTCAGCAGCATTAGGGTGAATGGAGCTGCAGAGCTTAATTCAAAGAGCCCTTAAGGGAAGCACTCAAATCCTTTCATGGAAAAAGAAAATATCTATAAGCCCCTGGTTTGACACACAAAAACATGCCACAGCAAAACAGAAATCAGGGGCCTGGTCAGAAGTCATCGTGTTTTCCCAGAACCAGAGCTAACTTTTCCGAGCAGCATACCACCAGAGGTGTAACTGGCCAATTCTGCATCTTGGGCAGAGGTAGTGAATGGGGCAGAAGCCAGAGCCAGAGGTTCACTGCTACAGGGGGAAGATCATAGAATCATAGAAAATGAGGGCTGGAAGGGACCTCAGGAGGTCATCTAGTCCAACCCCTGCTCAAAGGAGAACCAGCCCCAACTAGATCTTCCCAGCCAAGGCTTTGTCTAGCTGGGCCTTAAAAACCTCCAAGGATGTAAATCCCACCACCTCTCTAGATAACGTGTTCCAGTGCTTTACTGCCCTCCTGATGAGAAAGTTTTTCTTAATAGCTAATCTAAACTTCCCTTGCTGCAAATTCAGACCCTTGCTCCTTGTTCTGTCATCTGCCACCATTGAGAACAGTTTAGCCCCATCCTCTTTGGATCCCCCCTTCTGGTAGTTGCAGACTACTATCAAATCCCCTGTCAGTCGTCTCTTCTCCAGACTAAATAAGCCCAGTTCCCTTAGCTTCTCCTCCTAAGTCATGTGCCCCAGCCCCCGGACCATTTTTGTTTCCCACCCCCCATTCCCCCAGACTCTCCCCAATTTGTCCACATCCTTTCTGTAATGGGGGGCCCAGAACTGAACACAGAACTCCAGATGTGGCCTCACCCAAACCAAGTCCAGGATCCTTACTCTGCTGCTATTTTTTCTTCCTTTCTCCAGGATCCTGAACTCAGTCATCACTGCTGCCCAAGTTACCATCCACTTCTATGTTCCCCACCAATTATTCCCTGTTTGTGAGCAGCAGGTCGAGAAGAACGTGCCCCTAAGTTGGCCTCTCCAACACTTACACCAAGAAGTTGTCCCCAGCATTCTCCAAAAACTACTTGGATTGACTGTGCACTGCTGTCTTGCCCTCCCAGAAGATGTCAGCAGATGTCACCTCTTTATTTCTTGCTCACCAACACATGCTGAGTGGCCATTTAAACACTAATTTTCGGTGGCAAAAAAGAAGGTGATGTCCCCTTCCACAGCAGCAAACCTCTGGCTGCTGCTCCTGCACTGTGCACCTCCACTGCTCGGGGCACCATGCGCTGCTGCTGCTGCCCTGCCCTTCCTGATACTAAAGGTAGAGTTGGAGTCACTGCAGGGAAGGTGCAGGATTTGTTGGGGAGGGGAAGGTGAAAGGGGAAGGTGCCCCTGTTCACCCAGCCATTGTTACATTACTGCAGGCCACTCAGGGAGAGAGCCTCACCACTGGCCTACCCCTGCCACCGGGGGATTCTTTTAAAAAGGATCTGTATGTCTAGTGCCTTCTTCCTACAGAGGTGTCCTGTGTCAGGCCTCCTCAGAAAGCATATTCCTTGGGTTGCTGTCCAGCCTTGCATTGCTCTTTGGCTTTTCACAGGGAGGACTTATGTCCTGTTTTCAAAGGTGCATCTCTGGCAAGGATCAGACATGCCTGTGCAGACAAACACCTGAGCCCAGGACGTTGGCAGGCAACTCAGTGAGGGTCCCCTTCCCCTTGCATCTTTAAAATGGTTCTCAGAGGCTTTCACTGGGACCAGTAGAGAAAGAATTGAAGGAAACTTTCAATATGGTGTCCTGCCTGCCTCTCTGCAGCTCAGCCTACACCACAGTCAGGTGCCTCCAATGTACCTGCTTTAGCTCTAGTCTGGTAGGTTGGGCACTGATAGCAGTGAAGCTCTGCTAGCTCCAGCTTCAGCCCAGTGGTACAAGCCTAAGACAAAGCATATTTGTTTGGCAGCTGCCATGACAGTTCCAGTGCCCTCCCTACCCAAGGTCACTGGATTAAAACTCACGCAGGGATGTCTACTTGTTCAGTGATCGTATCTCTGACTGTAGCATAGACATACTATTGTATTTGTCTGTCTTTCTCCCCACCCCTTTCTTTCACTCTTCCTCCTTCTGTAGTTCCCCCCAACACACAGACACTTTCCTATTTTCTGGCAGGCACTTGCTCAGAATTATCCATTTGTTGCTGATAACAGAATCAGTGGAGCCATCTGCTTGTGTTTCCCTCACCTATTCAAAGGCTCGGAAGAAAGGAGTTTGAATCTTCCTTCCAACCTGATACCAGAGATGGAGAAGACCCCAGGATGTATACAGGCAACCCCCACTTAGCGTTCTTAAGTGGTTCCTGAAAAACCAAGCATTACGCGAAACCAGAAGTTTTTGATGATCCAAGATGGCGACCACAAGTATTTTTAATGACCCCAGGTGGCGATTGTGAGCATTATAATGAAACTTGTTGAGCGCTAAGTGGAATCAGGTATCAATTTAAAATGAGTGTTATAGAGAAATACTGCTAAGCGCAACTTGCCTGTATCAATTTGAAATGAGCAATATAGCACTAAGTGAAACAGCATTAAGCAGGGATTGCCTGTATCGTACTTATCTGGCATCAACAGGATAGGAAACCAGATCCTCCTATTTACTCTACATAGGTGCATTAACCAACTAAGCCACAATTCCCCTCAAAGAAATCTTGCTGCGTCAATTCCCCTTCTTGGCCTCACTGTGTCTGTGTGCGTTTATCCTCCAAAGTTTTGCCTAGCTCACTTATAAACATCTTAAAGGACAAAGCACTTCCCCCATGTGACTGTTCCTCAGTTTGACAGACTCTTGCTTTGTTCACAAGCTGGCCTTAAAACAGGGATATCTTGCATGTTTAGTGAATTGGAGTGGGGTTTCTGTGTGCCTTCCTCCATCTTTCCCTGGTCCCTGTTGACAAATTTGGATGAACCTTCCTCAATTTCAGGCATGTCCTTCTACAGACACAGGACCAAGGGTTCATTGGAGGAAGGGGTGAAGGAGGTGGTTTAGGAAGACAGCGAGCCCTCCTTCCCCTGGGACTCATGTCCATTGAACTCTCAACACATGCCAGACTGGAAAGAGATGGTCAGAGCACAGCACCTCCTGTCAGGCTGACCTATTCAATAGGAGGATGAATCTCCCCCTCCCTGACATTTCTCTCTTTCCAGGCCTTCAGTCTCATTGTGGGGAAGGGGGGACTTCCAGAGGGAGGGGGGGAGAGAGGGAGAAATGCAGGTTCATTATGATAAAAAAGATTCAAATTAGTTTAACGAATTAATCCAAACAGAATTAAATTAATAGCTTCCCTTTTATTTCCTCGCTGGCACTCTTCCAGAGAGCCCCTCTCCCTCCTCCCATGAGTCCCTTTCCCTACTCCTGTAGCACACAATCTTCCTTATTGTAACAACCAAGCGTGATGCCTGAGGCTGCCTAATCTGGCCTATCATTTATTTTGTTGGCTGCCATTGATCTGGATGACTGATTACATCTGAAAAACTGTTATTAATCCTTTCATCAAAGCAGATGGACCCAGGTGGACTCTCAGAGCTCTTGCCTGCCTGCACAGGGGCAGGCAGCATTATGCCATTGCAAACTGTGAATCTGTTTGTTTGCATGCTGTACAAACTGTGCTGAACACAAGCCCATGCAAATCCCAGGTATATGGGATTCAAATCCTTCAGACCTCCCCAGGTAAACAGGGAGGAGGGGCACTTGCAGGGAAGAGTAATTCCACCTTCCATCTATAAAGTAAATAGGTCTGATCATAGATGGGGAATCCCTTTTCCCTCCCCACCACAACTCATTCCTGGCTTGGACAGAAGGGTAGGCTGCACTTTAATTGCTGGACTTTTCTCCACGCTGGCTGACAGCTCCACTTGTGCTAAACCTCTTCTTCCCTGTCTGCTCAGAGGTAACCTGGCTAATGAAGATGTGAGGAGGAGAGGAGAGGAGGGGAGGAGGAATTCCACACCACAGGGGACCACAGTTATGGCTTGTTGCAGAAATGCCTTGCTGTCTCTTTTTCCCTCTTTCACTTTCTCTTTGTTGCCTCTCTCCCTGCCTCTTTCCTTTTTCTGCTCTGTCTGTGGGTCAAACCCACCCCTCAAACACTGTCAGGCTCTCTCAGGACTAGCTTTTGAACTCTTCCTCGCACGCACACATTCTCTGCCTTGTCTCTTTGGCCTAAGACAAGAGTTCAACCTGCTAGAAGAAACTCTTGCTAGTAGTCCCAGACCAAGATTTTCTTCCAGCCAAAGAAGGGACTGCCCCACAAAATCCAGCACTGGTTTTACACGGAGTTGGCTAAGCCAAGACTTTGTGCGTTTGGTCAGAACTATATAAACCAGCGCACAAGTCAAATGTCTAGAGCAGCAGTTCTGACCTGGGGGTACATGTGAAGCCTCATCAGGGGGTACGTGAGATGTATTTCATACATTGTCTAACACAGGTCAAAGGGCCTAAAAAATGTCTTGACAATTTGAAATTGCCGGGGTTTCCACTGCACATGCACGTGGAAACCAGATATCCTACTCCTGCTCCATGCCTCAACCTCACACGAGAAACGTCGCTCCTAGGGGGTACATGAAGTCTCACTCTGAGACCAAGGGGTACATCAACTGAAAAAGGTTCAGAACCGCTGGTCTAGTGCTCTCTATAGTGTCTCAAGGCCTTCCTTTCCAGAGCTGCTCAGGACCTGAAGGCACAGAAGCCCCGACCTCCCACAGAAAAGCCTTAGGCAGAAACATGAAAGCCTGTTGAAAGTGACTGTGGTCCTCTCCAACACAGGAGTTTTCCATCCAGCCAAACAAGACCTGATTAAATGCCAGGTGCTGCAAAGAGCTTAGGCCCTGCTGATTAGACTACAGACAGAAACGTAGGGTGGAAAGGCAGGAGGTTGCATAGAAGGGAATAGGAATATCGGGAGGGTAGCTGGGCACAAAAAGGTAAAGTCTTTTTAGTGTTTATCTGTAACAGGATATTATTTTGTTCTAGAAAGTGTTGTTATCTGAATGCAGCTGCTCTGCTGTTTGATTACTCTGAGGGCACCCAGGGAGAATCAGTATCCTAATGAAAATACAGCCCTCGGTTTGTGCTGTGAACAGTTGCTCATAGTCCCGCTAGCATGCCAGTTCCTGTGCCTATCAGTTCCCCATAGTAATATGCCCCTTGGGACAATGTTACTCCACTACAAATTCAGAAGGGCAATGTCTTCTTGTGTTTAATTCCAGATACACCCTGACTTTGTGCTGCAGTTGCCTTATCCCTCCACCCACGGAAGCTAAAGAGACCAGCCTCAGTTTGCCCTTTCCCAAAGTGATTCAGTTTGAGATTTCACTTCACCTCTGCATCCTCAGCTCCACTCTCTTCCCCACCCCCCGGTTAATTACAGGATTAGGAAGAAGCTGCACAACTCTGAGCTTTAAAAATATTTTCCTTAATAAAAGAAAAGAAATAAACCCTCAGCCATCAGCACTTTTTATTTAGAGCTGAATTCATGAATTTTAACCAAACATTGGCATGTTGGGTATTAATATATGTATGATTATGCAAAACCACCATTATGTCTCTAATGAAAATTAGATTCTGCCACTGAGGCTATATTCAGTGATGGCATGTATCTTTACTTTTTTTTTTTTTTTTTTTTTAAGCTGCATGACCTAGGATTACAGTTGCTATGGCAATCAAGCTGTTATATAGGAGGAAGAAGCTAAAGGTAAGTTTGTGCATGTACATGTGTTGGGAGGGGTTGTCGGCTGCTTGTCGTAATTCCCCAGCGCTGCTTTTTCCTCCTTTCTGCCCATAAATGTGCAACATGAATCTTGGCTAGTAGGTTTGAAATGTGTAGCGCACACTAGCTACTTTATTTTCTAAGTGAATTTAGCACCACTGGAAGGTGTCAGATTGACAGCCAGCCCTGGAGACTGAACTGTATTATTCACGGAACGGGTACAGCGCAAGCAGTGGGAGTGAGGGCTTCCCTCAGCTCTGCATGCAGATGCGCTTGTGCCTCAGCCCCTTTCTGAAGGGACTGCCTGTCAGGACAGTACGAGAAAGTCAGATCCTGTGACCATTTGATGTTGGATCTGTCTGTTCAGGTTGCCCACAGGAATCAATAAGTAGCACTGCTTGTTGTAGGATGCCTGTTCCACTGAGAACTGGTGAAAAGAGAGGGCTCTGTCTCCCCAGCGCCCTGAACTGTGCAGTTCCCTCTCCCGTTTCTTGTTCATTTTGATTTGGGAAGCTTGCCTCTGGAGGAGGTAAGTGTCAGTTTTCAAGGAGATGGTGAAAACTCTGGAAACTGTCTCAGAGACAGCAGCCTAGTAGCACTCTGCCAGAGGCCAGAAAGAAGAATAATTCTGTACCCTTCAGAACGTAGCTGTTTCTACTGACAGGTGAATCCATGATGGAGTTGGGCATTTCCCTGATGCACTCTAGTTTGTTGGCAACTAACATACGCAAAGTCCTGTTTCCCTGAACACCATGGGCATCAAACAGCAGGAGGCAGCATCCTGGCTCTATATTCTCTGCTGCCTTTTCCAGCCTGCACTGTGCTCCAAAAGCAATTTCTCTTTTTTCACCTGTCTCATGGGGTCAGGCTACAAGGACTTTTCTGGCTGTCCTGAGCTTTTGGCTACCTTCTCTAGCTGCATCTGCTTGTGTTGACATGCCCAGCTCCACCAAAACAATACCACTCGGAGCTTGTGTTGGATCTCCAGGGCCCCCCCTCTGCCCACTAACTTGGTTCCAAGCAGGCCCTGCATTTTGTCCATGTGTTGGGTGGTGGCTCCTATCATTTCAGCTGCCTGCCACTGAGCTCACCTGCTTCTTAATTTTATCCTAAATAAAGGGGACTGTTTTGCCAACCAGGTTCAAAGAGGTTTCTCTCAAGTCCCAGCTTAACAATACTTTGCCTCTCCGTGGAATCCTGTCACTTTGGGCCGGGCCTTAATCTCTGTTTTTTTCCAGGAGTAAATGCACCAGGGCATGTGGAAAAACTTTTGATTCACAGTGGGGTGGCATGGGTCTGAATCTAGCCCTTAAGAAGAGATTAACTTTTTTTTTTTTACCAATTTTTCATGGGAGATCACGTTATTTGTTTGTTTTATAGTCTGCTTTGAGTAAAAATAGCTAGGAGTATTTTGAAAGGGTCCCTCTCTTTCTCTGTCTTTCCTTCCCTGCCACACTTCATGTGATTCCCCAAGCTTATGCTTGCCTGCATGCAGCTCATCAAAAGAGAAACAGCTTTAATGTGAGCAGACATCTCTCTCCCACTCACAAGGACTGGAGAGTAAGACTAAACCAAGGGGTAGCAGAGAGACTGCTGCCCTTGTTGAGTTGCCTCCCCTCTTCTCTCAAGGAAAGCCTTTCCACTGACCCTTGGAAGGAGCTCCCTTCCTTCCCCCAGTCCCAGAGAGAATAGATTTATTTGCCAGTGATTTCAGATCCTGGGGTTGCTTGGAGGAGCTGGCAGAGGCTGTGGCAGCGGTGACTGGAGGGCAAGGAGAGTTGCTTGTTAGTTTTAGGTTGGGAGGGGGGTGAGTTGCAAGGATGCCTGCATGCTTTCTCGGTGCCTGTCAGGAAGCTGCTGCCACTGTCTAATTGGAGGAAGGAAGTCCCTGGGGATAATGTTCTTTAAGGCCAAAAGCCAAGGAGTGCTGCAGCAGCAGAGTGGTCACATCCCCTGCTCATTCAGTTGCCAGTCTGCCTTCTCCGTTTAGATCTCAAATATCATCAGGACAGCTACAGACCAAATACACCCATGAGGTCACTTGCCCACCTCATCCAGTGCAGGAGTGCTCCACAAAACTAATTCCTGATAGTCATGTCCAGCCTATAGAGCTTAAACCACACTGATTTCCTAACTTCCCTTGAAGGCTATCTTCTAGAGTTAGTGTGTCCTCTTTTCCAGTCTAAATTTTTCTTTTCTTAATTTCATTTCACTCCTCCCATTTTCACTATAATCCCTCAGAGCACTCTGAACAAATCCTTCCATTTTATAGCTTTTTATTCCTCTCTATCTCAGGGTTTTCAAAAATGTTAATTCTTTTTCCTGGGAGGGGAGCAAGAAAGCTAGATTGGTCCTTCCTCCTTCTGAAAATCCCTCCCACTCCTTTCTTGCCTGTAGAGTGGTCCTTAGTCTCTTCCAGGACTGCTTCATCCAGGCCAGGATTTTGGGTGACCCTGCATTGTGGCTTTTTAGAAACATAAGTTGCTATGGTGGTTTGTTTGAGAGCAAGAAAATGAGAGGTCCTATCTGTGTGCAGTAGCAGGGCTGGATGGAGAGTTATTGGGGCATGGGCAAACAGAGAATTGGAGGCCCCCACCATGCCAGGGTAGGTTCCTTCAGCACCTGCCAGGGGGCTGTGGCTGAGCCCACCCAGCTTCCTCCACACGTCCGGGGCAAGCTATGGGGTGTGAGCCCCACTGAGGTGAAGGTGTCCCCGGCCCCTCCGCCTGGCAGATGTTGTGCAGCTGGAGTTGTGGTCCCCCAGCAATCTGGGATGGGCCAGGCCTAGGGCAGGCTGGCGGGGGCACGAGCTCTGCCCCTGGCTGCCTGCCCAGAGAGCGGATAAGAGGCGCACACTGCCTAACACAGATGCCCACAACCAGGATGCCTGCCTGGAATGTGCTGCCTCTGGCGGCACAGGGGCCCCTGGCCCAGACCCCAAGGGTCTGTGCATTGATCCACCCCATCCAATAGCCTCAGTTAAGAAGCCCCTTTTATAGTCTCTACAGCTACATCCTCTATCCCTCTCACTCCGTCATAAACAACACAATAAGTCTGAAGCCACCATTACTCCACCTGAGAGAGGTTCTTTTGGAGGGCCCTCAACATTATTCCTGGAGTGGTATGGAGGAAGAGCTGTATAGCATTGCAAGAGGAAGGTGACTAAGCACATAGCCTCTTTTACAACCACAATTTTAAGAAGGAAGAGGGAGTAAATTCACATGAGCACAGGGGTGGAATAAAAAAGTGTATTGCTTTGGAATGGAGAAAGGGGTGGCTGAGCTTGAAGCCTGGGGGTTGGAGCCTGGGTGGCTCATTGGGTTGCTTACACTCCAAATAGGCATTACTTGCTAGGACAGTGGTTCAACTTCAACCTAGCTCACTAGTTCAAACTCACAGCCTTCTGGTTGCTGCAGGGCAGTAGTTTGTGTGAAATACACTTGGGTATCAGTCCAGGTTTTTACTGAGGTGGGTCACAGAAGCTGCTGGTAACGTGAGTAGTAGTGCCATCGGAGAAGTCAAGGACTGCAGGAGCTGTGGCAGGTGCATTTTACCTTGTTTACAGACACTGCCCCTCCAGATCAGGGCTGAAGTACATGGAGAGAAAAGAGAGTATTGTGTGGGTAGAAAACTCCCAGCATTTCTGTCTGTGCTTTGAATAAATACAGCACCAGAGACACCCTGGGCAACTGTCAGTCTGGTCCTTTGGCTGGCTCAAAAATTCATTGCAAAAAAATGTCATCAGTTGAAATACAAGTTCACCATCTTCCCTGTGTAAATATTTGTCATGAGTAGCTAAACGGAAGGTCATGCAGCTCTGGGCTATGAATCCAAGCTTGTCATTGTCTTTCATGGAGGCGAAGGTCCAGTAAGCACTTGCATATCCTTCTCCTCTCCCCCAGCCCCCACACCTTTCAGTACACTGCATCCGCATGCTAACAAAGATTCTTTGAGAGTGTATAGAGATGTTGATGCAGCAAATAGAAGCTGTGACTGTGACCATAATTTCAAATGAGCCAGTCAGGTACTTAAGGACAAAAGATATTACCAGGGGACAAATGGCGAGACAGATGCAGAGCAGACCTAACCATGCTGCACAGAAGGATTGTCACCTAATTTGTAATTGCCTGGGGTGAGGGGGGGCAACATACTCCCATCATTATGGTTATGTCTTCATACCGTGCTGCTGCAACAGTGCAATTCCATCGCAGCCTGGCATCCTGCTGACTGAGCTCTGTGGTATATGGACATGTCACAAGAAGTAAGAGGTACCCATGGCTTTAAATGAGCCAGGGACTCTGAGGGCACAGGCAGACCCATAAAAAGCCTATCCATTTTGAAAGGGGCAGCAAACTCCCCTCCTTCCAGTAGGACTCAATGCATTGAAGGGATATAGTCAGCTGATGAACTATCCACCTGCTGTGGAATCCAATAAAATGTCCCCCAGTCCCTGAAAATTATCAACCACAACGTACTACAAATGGGGGGGAGCAACATCTAATAAAACGCAGTAGCATATTGACAAGCCCCTTTGCCAGCGTTTCTCCAGACTGATTGAGGTCATTTGGCTTCCACTAGGCTTCCCTCACAATGGTGACTGCTCATTCCTGATTTTTCTAGAGGTGTCCTGCATGCCTGACTCCCAGGACAGCTGGAGTCTTGTGTTTCCTTGGGGTGTTGGGTCTCTGATGCATGGCAATGGTGTGCTTCAGCAAGAAGCGACAGCTGTTGCTGTGTTGCACTGCAGTGTCACGGCTCAGTTATTTCCTCCCGGGGTGTGCTCCTCATTCTGCCTGCTGTGTGGGGAGAAGCACAGAGGGGGCTTACATGGGCCCAGAGCTGTTGCAGCCCACCTGCTGCTTTCCCAGAGGGGCTGAGGGAGGTGCCGATTTCTGTACTGTAGCTGGCAGTCATTGGCACTCGTGCAATTTCTTTCCCTTGGCAGCCAAGACTGATATCATGGGGACCTGGGTGTTTTCATAACT